AAGTAATGTACCAATTGCTTTTTCGTTGAGGCGACGTTGATGACTCGAGAATGAGGCTTAATCGGTCAACGAGTAAACTTTTTCGAGTCGAAGTTCTTGAGAAACGAAATATTGTCATTCGTAAAAGGCAACGATGAGATCTCGAGAACCGGGAGCTGTCGATGTTTTGGCCTCGCATGAAATTGAAGCAGGGTCGATGTTAAAAGGTCGAACACGGCACGTTTTTCTGGCGGTGCTGAGAGAAAAGGAGAGCTGAGGACGGGAAGCCGATGAAATCTTGTACTGCATTTCTCCTCGGGTCGCGGTGAAAAACGAGCAGAAATTGTGCAGTGACCTCCGTGCAATTCATCGCGATAGGACATGCACAGCGACGGGAGCGAGTGTCGGGAACGATGAAAAATCGGGGCAGGAGCAGAGAGACACACACCCGCGCGCCATCGCCTCGGACAACGACGGATGCAGGGATGGCGTGGCTACCCGGTCGTGTATGCATCCCGAGAGCCACTCTGCATATTCAATGATCGCGCCGCCTGCCCCGAATCATCTATCGATCACTAGCCAAGGTGGGGAGGGGAAGGGTGTCGGGAGAAATTCAACTGCTTATCTCGAACGCGTGCCCGGCGTAATTTCCGGAAATTAATCAAGTTGCTTTTTCGCCGGCGTGGACCCGCGAGTGATGGAATTTCCTTCCAGCCAACCGCTCCTTGACATTGACATCAAAGCATGGGCCTCGTGGCGGAAAACCTGGGGTTGGGTGAACAGCTGCCTTGCGACCCGAGCGATAGCATGAACTGCCTTCGAACTCGCGTGAATTCGCTCCGGTATCCGAACTCGGAGGGAATTCATGTCGCGTTGATCATGCCGATAAATTCCCTTGGTCGATTACTTATTCCGTGTATGACATTAAAGACGAAAGAGAGACAAGTTTTCATTCTCAGATAACCATGATTTCTAGTTGGCGCTCATGAATAATCTGGATTCGGGCTACCCGGACTAAAGATCGGGTGCCTCAGCCCGGATAATTATTTACACCAGTATCGTATGGATAATCTAATTGTGCGAATGACATTCTACGACGATTACAATTCAACGTGTAATATGGCCATTAAGGGCCTTGGCTTGTCATGAAAGTCTGTAAAAATGAAAATTGATCGTCAGGAGATGAAACAGATTACAGTACATTTAAATATGGTTGGACGGAACGCATTCGTTACGCCGAATTTATCAAAATTCTTGAGAATATACGTGCAGTGAAAGAGGCTAACAGTTTCGGTATAATTTTATTGCCTTTTCACGCATTCCGGTTTAGTGCGGAACGAGGAAGAAACGCTGAAAGATTTCGTCGTAAAAATTTGAGAGGAACGTTTAAAATTGAACGGTTTGTGGCTCAAATTTCACCGGAGAAGAAATAGTTCTGAGATTCTCGCGTTTTGTTGGTTTTTGCCGTCGAGGTACGCGATAAAACTGTCATATTTACTCTACGCTAACATATGTGCATCGGGTGACCCGAATTTTCCTTTAGTCTCCTGTAAGGTATCATGTTTGGTCCTCTGTGACGCAATGAAGTGCAAAGCGCTAATTTAAAAAAAATGTAACCTCATTGCGGGATACATTTCTGTACGATGAGCTACGGAAATTATTTATCCGTGCGAAAAGGAGCTAATTTTTGAGACAATGATCAGAGTTTAGTCGTCGGCTTATCTCATAGTTGACGATGGACAGAGTATCGTAAATGCGTACTCTTCTGCTCTGCGCACCGCGAGAACGCCAGGATAGGAATCTTCTGTGAGTATCTTCCGCGACGAACGCGGACATTTAAAGTGGAAAAATGATGGAAGAAGACCTTCTTCTCTGCTTTCCAAAAAAGCTCTTATATTCGGAAGACGGCAGTAAAAGGAACTTCGGAGCCCATAAATTGCGTCCCGTGTAGGAATGCTAAGAAGTTCTCAGCAGCCAAGTGAATACCTCAAATGAGAGGGACCGGACATGCGCGAGTGAAATATGTCACTTCGTTTGCTTTCATCTCGCGTGATGATTGATGAACTTCGCTGGGGTTCAAGGCGGTATTGACTTCTGAAGGTGGCTGGAAAAGTACGACCCCACTTGTATCGAGTCACCCGTGGAAAATCGATCTTTCCGAAAGATTTAAGACGCGGTTGACGTGTTAAACGACGGCATCCAATTTTACAATGACTTAATATGCACCAGATGTCGGTTCGAATGTGCCCGCATATCGGTTCACTTCCGCCGTGCGATTTTGCATTGATGATTTTCCGCTTTTATCGTAAATGGCATGACACTTAACTTTGCTTTCGACGTCGTTTTTTACAATTAGCTCTTCCGACGTTTATCGAACTTGGAATGCGTCTGAGGCGTGGCTATGCACTTCAGGGAAAATATTGAAAGTTACGGATTCTTCTTCTTCCGTCATTGCTGGAATACATATAAATATACATTACGTTCAAGAATAGCATTGAATGCTGCAAAACATTTGCATCATAAATTTTACGGTTTTTTTCATCGCGTTCCTTTGAAAATGCGCATAAGGAAGTCGAAATTTTGATGACATGAGCTTGGAAAGTTCCGCTGCATAAATTTTCATGTATTGGCAAGGAGTATCCATTTCATTTTACTGCATCTTGAATACTTTACTGCGTGAGCCTTGTGGCGTAATTTTTGAAAATTCCATGTACAGAAATAAACTGGCAAAAGCTGCTGCGTGAGAGTAAGCAAAACAGTAGTCTTGAATAGCACACGGTGCATTTACTGACCTTCAGAATGCAAACCGCTGTGTTGCTTTTTCGCCTTCCGAATGTGATGAAAACCCCGGACGAGTATCAGAGTATGCATTTCTTGTTGATGCTTTGCATTTCATGAAATCTTGAATAAGAATTGAATTTTTTTAAACTTCAGAATTCCTGCTGCGTGTATCCACGGAAGCGCTGCATGAAATCCAAGTAACAGTACACAGTAAAACTTCGATTGTCTGGGTTGACGATTGATTTATTTTACCCAGATAATCAATTCAGCGAAATCTCATTACAACGATCCTGTTGGGACCGGGAAGAAAGCTTCGTTATGAAGATAAATTCGTTGTAAACCGCTTTGAAAGACATTATTGCTATTGAGAAGGGACCTGAAAAACGACTTCATTTTACTTTCAACGCATCATTCGTTATGACGAGATCCTCTGTATCGAGATTGTACTGATCATAGAAAACTGAATTTTTCAAAATGCCACCTAAGCTGATGAAAAATTACGACGACGAACTGATGTGCCGACAGTGTCATGAATTTCGAAGTTCATAATTTTTCGATGCCGATCGGATGGAAATCCAGTAGGCAAGAAAGTCACTATGCATTTAGGAACTCGGATAATGGCGGAGAATCGCCCCTTTTTCTTTTCAAAATTCTAGTAGCCTTGTTCAAAAATCGTTTAATTTTCGGCTTCATGGTTCAAAAATTATCTCAGTATGAAGCCGCGTTGATTAAAAACGCTTGACGGTTCCAGCAATTGCTTTCATTAATCATTGCGGAGATCAGCTCTTGGAAAGAAATCTTTTTTTCTGGTTTTGCTTGTCGCGAGCATGCAGGTTGGTTATTTGAACGAGCGGCTGATAAATTGGTGACCTCCCAAATCGCGGTGGCTCACATGTTGTCTCGCGCCGGGTCAGGGTGTGGCAAGCGGGTCATCAATCACGGCGCTCGCTTGTTAGAGAAAACACGCGGTACCGAGACTGAGTCGCGATCGTGTAGAATCATCCTTGAATGACGGAGAAAAATTGCCGTCGACCCGGTGGAATCTGTCGGTCCTGCAATTTGGGGCGCGGATATGACGCAATTGATCCGGCCTCCCGCGATGACTCGTGTTGCGGGTTTGCTGAAGTGAAATGAACTCGTTCTCCGCTTCCTCGATCGTCGTGATTCGAATTCTGATCAGCTCCCGCGCTTGTCGCACGTCTGGCCCTGGCATTTCGTCCGTGCAGATTTCCCGACACCTGCCGTGAATACTGTTTCCGTGCCGATTCCTTTCTCTTTCGGCACACGAGAGATTTCCTGGACCTCCCTCCTATTTGCTCAAGTACAGTACTGCCGCAGTCCGTTGTTCCAGAAATGCCCTTTGGCAACCGATGAACAAAATTTCCCATCGGCGTTCTCCGCTGTTTCATCCTCCCGGAGCAGCTCGAATTATCGATTAACTTCCCAAATCGTATAGTCAATTACAACTAATTCATGCTGTTCCCCATGTCCGCATTACCTTATGAATTACCTCTGCGAAATGAAGTGTGTCCGTAAAACTTTTTTTTTTTGCTTCGATGTTGGTTGGATCCAATGAAGAATAAATACCGGCATTTTACTTAAACCCATTCCTCGCGACTTTCCTTATAAATGCTCGAGTGAAAATGATCATCACCTTTTCACGTGTTGATTATAATTCTTCCTCCGTTTATTGAGAAACTGGCAGCACTAAACACGTCGAAATTCATCATCTGAGCAGCCGGTAATATTTGGGTTGATGCTGAATTTCAATAATTATCCGTTCTTAGCTGGTATGTGTAATGCGGGAAAACTTGATCGATTTCTCTTCGCTCCTTCAACTCGTGATTGCCTTCTGAAGAGAATGAATGATTTTTGCATCTCAAAATTCGCGCGCACTTGAGGGGATCTCGTGACTTTGTGACTTGGAAGGCCATTAATGGCGTCGCATTTGAAGTGCGATGCCATTAATTCCCAATTAGAAGTATCGATCAATCCCGGTTTCGATATGTGCACGTACCCTGCCAACGCAAGAACGTATCATTTACCGAGATCGCCGACGGGCAGCGAATTTACCCCGCCTGAGGAATAAATAACGCGAATCGTCGACCCATTTACCATCCCAGCCCCGGGCTAAAAGGTTTACCTGATTACAGGCCGAGCCGGGGATTTGCATAATACCCGCGGCTTGTAAGCCGTATCGTTGTCAGAGTGATGAAGTTTGTGCTCCCGTTCTTTCTCAGACTACGGACGGAGGCAACGTGTCCAGGAGCACGGTGACGTTTATCCCGAGGGTGGACGACACTGGGAAATTCTTGGTGTGCCGAGCAGAGAACCCGCGGATCCCGGGAAGTGCGATTGAAGACAAGTGGAGTCCGGAAATATACTGTGAGTAGATACTGTGCCTACTTTCTCGGATGATTTTTCATTTGTTTTGAAGCCTGCGAATAGTCACTGGTTTAACACCTCGTCTAGGTTTTCCTATTTTCTAGACATGCATTTCCCAATTTTTCGCCTCTTATTTCACTTTGAGGAAAGCATTGCCGATGTATCAGAAAATTTCTTTATGTCTCCTCAAGGCGTCGGTGAACCTGACACTTGCTCTGGAAGTTGTGAGCGATCTAAAAGCTCAGATGAAATCAATTAATGCTCATATTACGAAGTGTTCATGACTTTTTTATGTCAAATCTTTGATTTAATGTCTATGTAAGTGCTTGATGTGCAAATGTTCTTCGCAACGTTTATGTCGGGTGGGAGTGGATTTCTTCAGTCGAGAGGGTTTCCTTCCTTGATTGCCGACACATCACTGTCTTCATCCACTGGAAAATTAATGCAATGGCAAACATTTTGAAGTACTCCTAGACTCTTGAAGCTTTGATTCCGCAGCATAATGTAATCTTTATCTGTTTTATAATGCGTTCAATGCATGCACTTCGAGAATTGGCATAATAATGGAGCTCCATATCATGACCAAAATCCTCCGGTGGTATCATTCGTCCAATTTTTCATGCCAGATTGAGTCGACGTGTTGTGAATCTTCCGTTCACTCTCTTCCTTCTTGCAAGAATAGAAATTACTCTCTCGATATGCAGTACTGCAAAATCACGGGTTTAGAGTATAATTTTAGAGTGGATTCCTCCGTGTTGGACGGCAAGGTCAATCGAATAATTAGCGTATACGGAAGAAAACCGAATTGCTTTTCTGCGTATTGCGAACGAACTCCGCGCTTGTACTGATCATGTTTCTCGAAAAATGCAGTAAAGTATACCCGTATGCCCATCACGCTTGATGAGGTAAGTCAAAACTGTATGAATTGCAGACACGGTTTTTATTTTTCATCCTCCGAGAAATATATAAACTGCGAGATTATCATCTGAGCGAACCCCGCTACCCGATAAAAAGTAGTCGCATTCTAATCTTGCGATGAATCGCTATCGACGAGTTTGGCGTAATTGTGCTACCGGAATCATTGTTGCTGTCAAGAGTTCAGGAAAGATGGACTTCGACGAGACTGTTGAGATAAGGATGGGTTGACGATTCTTTGCTCATTCAGCAAATCTATCGCATCTCAGGGACTTGCCTAAGTATGACAGGTTGATGCTGATAGGAACCACGTTTGCGGTTTCCAGAAATCGGCCGAGCCGCTTCCTTCATTCGATGCGCGGAATTTCCGTATTTTTCTTCAAGGCCTTCGAGTGAAGCTTGAAATGGCTCCTGCTGATGCAAATAATTTCTAGTGTCCTTGAATAATCAGCAAAAGATTTCGGATCTCAAAGAATGCCAGGGCCGCCCCGTGATTTTCGGAATGAGCTCTTTCGTAGGCGGCATGGACGAACAGGTATTGACCACCGAGAAGCCTTGATGAATGGCAGAGCAGCTGTCTGGTTCGCATGCTCATGAAATGTCATTCGCTTTAATTAATGATGTCTACTTAACAATGCGTGAATCGTGAAGCCGAACCCCCTCCCCCTCGGATCTAATCCCATGCGTTTCTCTGCGAACATGGGTCCAGTGTTAATGCTACCCATAATCATGAGTCATATTGTTGACAGAACAGTTTTGGTACCCAGTGTGTAAAAGTTTACAGTCAGCGTCACGCGATATTGCGACAATAATAAATTGTCGGGGCGTACCTTATTAATGACGATAGCGTGAGGGGAAATCAGTGCTAAAAAGCGGCTGTTCAAAGTCATGTGAGGTACTGTAATACATTTTTGCTCATAGTTACGAAACTTCGTTGCTTTCAACAAAAGCGTAAGAATGTTCCCGATTTTCGCATAGAGTCCATCCGCGTGGCATGAAATTTGCACAAGAACCCGAAAAGCCCTAGAGGGTATTTCGACGCAGATTCCTAATAAAAGCCGGAAAAACCTCGAAGTATACGCTGACAAAGCCTCGGAAAATGCAGCTGGACGGACGTGATCCGATTCCCGCTCGTCTGTTCGCTACAGGGAATCAATTATTCAGCCCGGGGAACTCTTCACGCGTGTTGCAATCGGAGAAGCGGAAGAAAGCAGAAGAAATAACAGTTTATTCTCAATTCCTATTACAGTATTATACGTTTGATTGTGTTTGATCATCTTTGTGTAACAAAACGAGAGGTTTCTCGATAGTTTAGACGGAATTTATTTATTCTCCCTGTCAAGAGATGACACGACCTATTCAAGAGTGCCCCATACACCGGAGAGGCAATAGAGTTGTTTTCTAGGTGAACTGAAAAAAAAACTCGAGCTTTGATTTATACCGTCAGCTGACTAATCGTCATTTTAGTACAATTACGATTCGAAATTTCTCAGATAATCGAGGGAACATCAGATTATTGATCAGTTTATCAAGCTTTTTGACGCACACGGTGTCGTTGCTGAAATGTATTTCGATGACGGAGCCCTGGAGTACAATTACTATATTTTTGTATTATTATGACGAACTTCGTGAATCTTAACTAGTCCTGAATTCCTTGCATCTTGATTAATTTTTTTACTGAGTTCGGGTTGAGAACCTCTGAAATCTGGATTTTAGGATGATTTTGTTCGCTTGAACTGAATAAAAAACTTATTCTAAAGCGTTATTCATGATTATTCGTCGAATTTCACAGTTATAGTACTAATATTTAGTCGCTTTTTTGTGAATGTGATCTCGTGTGATGTTTGATGATGAGCTTAAGTCGATTCTTATGCCGTAAATTGGGAGCTAACCTCTCCTAGTATCTAGGATTTGTTTGCTCAGTGCTCACGCTGAGCCTAGGAAATCCGATTCCTTGCACTGATTGGCACGTTGACGGTGTTACGATTTCCAGAGTTTCGAATTATACGAGAGGATTCTCTATCTATTACAGATGTACCGATGCCAAGGTTGGTTCTGGGGAAGAATCTCAACAAAGACAACATTCGTGAAGGGATTGACGTGTACTTCGACTGCGACATCAAATCAAACCCCAAGTACTTCAAGGTGTCGTGGAAGCATAATGTGAGTGCTCACCTGAATGCTTGTCGTCGAAATGTTTACTGTATTTCCAGTGGCTGCCATGTTTTCTTAAACCTGCCGTATCTCGTTCTAATCTTTGATTTTTATCTGTTTTACGGATTAATGGGAGCAAAAAGAAATTATAGACGCTACCGAAAGACCACCATAACTCCCGACGATTTCATTTTTTGGATTATTGATACGCTGTGTTCATTTCGTTGTCTTTTTTCCGCCGATACCAAACTTGAAGTACGTGCGAGTATTCATATTGAAGCGGAAATTTTTAATGAACTAATGCACGTTACGTTCTCATGTCTTAATTGACTTTCCCTAGACTACCGTATTTGATAATTTTTTTCAATTTGATGGTACTGTATGACTTACGAAATACATAATTTGTCAGTGCGTTCTGTCGTCAGGACAGAAAAAGCAGATATTATTTATAGAGTAAAATCAGTGTTTCACCGCCTTGATTGATAGACGAACCTGTGGAACACAGTTTGGTTTGTTACTTGAGGCTTCTGCTGAAAACGTATCATAGTACACGTTCTTCTTGGGCTTTTTCCCGTCAAGGGTGTGTCCATGGGCTTGTGTACTAGAACTGTCGCTCATTGGAGCGTGACCTGATAAAGCTGAACTAAAATATGCTTTGTAAAAGTGGAAATTGCATTAGCAATGATTAACGAGAACATTTCCTGCCCAGTTCTGTCGTCTGAATCTCGAAGTCGTGCTAGTTTATCACAATGGAAAATCTGATTAGCTTCTTTATGGTCAATTTTCTCGAGTACTGCTGGCCGCGGGGACATCGCGGGACTCATTTTGTGTCGCTTTCCTGTGTCTAGGGTCTGCCGCTTCACCACCATAACAAAAGTGCGGGGATTATCATGAGCGAAAGGCACCTCGCTATTCAGAAAGTTAATCGACACCAGGCTGGAAACTACAGCTGCGTGGCAGTTAATACAGAAGGCGTCGGGGAAAGCATGCGAGTTGAGCTGAACGTCAAATGTGAGTATGCATACGTGTGTCTGTGTTTTGCGGAGAGAGAAAATTTGGCCGGGGATTGGGATTAATTGGCTCATATCTCTATATTGCCTGACCTATTTTTCCCATGTGTATGCAATTTGTGAGAATGTGCGGTCGTCAGCTTGTTTGCGGAGAATTTCAACCGACGTTTTTCGCTCCAGTGCGTACGCACAATCTATCTTAACACGAATCGAATCATCTCCGATGACCTCGCTTTGAACTCATTATTTCGAATCCTATAAATTTCAAGTCGAATGTTTCATCGCAGGGTATGCCGAGATTTTTCTCCTACCGTGTGCCTTACCCGAGAAAGTTTCATAACTTACTGTGATTCTTTAAACCGCGCGATAAATACATGTTAATGGGATTTCACTGTACAGTACAGTCATTAAATGAAAAGTTCCTGCCGAAGTTGAAGCCTTCGACATTTTCATCGACTTCTATTTGTGCTTGTTTTCATGGAAATCCACTTTTCCGGAACTTGAATATGAAAACCTTAGTTTAGTTGAGGCGAGGTAATTGAGACAGTTGCGTCGACGTTGTTGCAACTTCTTGTCGTGCGAGCTTATTTGATGCGTCGACAGTTGAAGTTGAGATTCCACCCAATTTGAAGTTTGAAAATGTATTTCTTCGAATGTGTTTTAATCTTTTTTTTTTGTGATGTCGCTCGATCTGAAGAATCCCCCGTATTCTGAACGCAGTCGGGACGCAATGAGACCTTTTGCGTACGTATCTGGTTGATGAAACGTTAAGGGCTGAAATTGCAAAAGAATATGCACAAACTTAGGCATTATTAGCCCTCCACCGATTTCAGGGCCCGATTAAACAATGAGAAAGACGGTTGAATGACGGTCCTGGAGATTAGATAATTTTTTATCAGCATTTTTCAAGTCCAATTGTTTCTGCAGATGTCAGGAAGTTTGAAGAAAACGCCGCACTCCATTCTTGGAAAAGGAAAAGGACTGTCTAAAATTTCTTGAAAGGTTGCATAGTGCTGAAGTTCTCCGGAACTGCACGGAAAATAGATCGTATCTTCAAGAGAATGAACGGTGGAATTATTCTGTAAATTCTAGCACATTTTTTTTTCCTCGAGCCTTTTTCGATTAAACAGTTCATTCTTGAAAATGTTTCTTCAAGTCAAAGCCGATCCGCATGCCTTGGTACTACCGTAAAGTAATTGTCTGCCAAAAGGGTCTGCCATTTTTTTTAACCTTTGCTGAAGAAGAACGTTTTCCTTGTCTCACCTTAACTAGAAAGTTCACCAGCTGCACTTCGCTTTACGAAAGAGTACTGAGTATGGTATAGTCTTCGTGAAATGAAAATTCTGGAAAATTTAAAATTATTTTAGCTGCGGGAAATGAAGCCGACGTCCGTTCCTTGAAGGCTGTTCTCCGTTTTATTTTTCTACATTTCGCACGAGAAAGCCGAGACCGTGGTACTTAGTGCCCATCGTCTATTATTGCAGCTTCCCCGTTGCGCGAGCATGCGTTTGTTAGTGACTGACCTTTTCTCGAATTGATCACGCTGCTCGAATAAATCGGGGCAATTTTGAAAGGAATTCTGTGGGACTTCCAAGGAAACCTTCAGCCATGTCTGCTCGAGCGTGACATCCGCGGAGCCGAGCGGAGATTCCTGAATCAGGTGCTCGGCGCGACGAAGCGCAAATTGTGGGTTAGGTTAGGCCTGGCAAGAATCCGAGATTACATACGGGGAGTCGGTCGTGTCACTGCAGTCCCTCGTCTCGTTGCCGCGCCATTCGGGGTCTCATCCCCGCTCAACACCCAATAATTTTCCGCATTTCGCTCGTCCCTGGGGAAACCTATAAAAGCTGTTTCTTTGTTCGTGCCCGTCGCACGTGGGCTTTGCGATCAGTGAAAACGCACGATTATCGCTAACGACGGATGTGTGCCCCTCGTGCTACTTACGTCGCACGAAAAAAACAACGCAAAAAGCAACACACACGCCGGCAGAGATCCGCTTCTTGTTCTACAGTCGATGAAACAACGAATTTGATCGCAGGATTTATGACCGAGGGCGTATTCGAGTGGCGAACTGCTGATCTGTAACTAAATGCACACCTCAAGTCAAATGACAAGTGGAACGAAAATCAGACTTTCGTGCTCTCGCCGATGCATTCGTCACTGGTACTTCTGTTTTTCGAGCCCGACGCAATTTAGTTCTGCTGCAGATGATGCTTACGCATCACAAGCGTCATACGAGCGAAATTGGTAATATTTCGAAAATACTTGATCTTTACAGCCCTTTAGTGCACGTAACAGTCGTGGAACAAGGGCAGGTGGCTCCCAAGATATCTCTAGTCTATAGTTGAGTTTATGGAGGAATGCCATTTATGTACAGCGGCGGAAAGTTGAACTTGGGAAAAGAAGTGAAAAAAACAGCTTTCTGTAACATCATTCGACTTCGGATGAGGATAAATGTGTAGTTCCAAAATTGAAGAGTTTTGTCGAGTCTTTTTTTCCGAAAAAAATCATTAATTTGCTCGTCCTTCACGTTAAAGCCGTTGCTGGTGGTATTTTAGTTTTCGAGATACGACATGCTAATGCTTCGATTTGTTAAAGCTAGAGTAATACAAAAGAAGGCTGATTAGCGCTTCTATTGCATGTCTAAGTATTTCCTCCAAAGGCGTCTGTGGCATTTGAAAACTTAGGGTTCATGCTTTTCAGCTACTGGGATTCCGCTGAGCAATGACAAGGGAAATGAATCGCCGCGCAAGGTACAAAACTTTCTATGCAAACAGTCGAGAAAGTCGTGCTTGGTTGAAGAGAACCCGGAAACCGTCCGAAGGTGTTCAAAATGACTAAAGTTAGTTTAAAATTACCGTAAGATTGCTAGAGAGTGGATATCTGTCCGCGATGATGGGCTTTTAAATTTTTTGTTAAACCATGCCTCATATTGTTGTTGCCGCTATCCTATATGAGGTCGCTCCGACAATCGGAAGTTTGAGAAGCGAACTTAATCTAATAATTTGATAGAAGCGCGAGTTCTTCATGAATCCTACCAGATTAATTGTTTTTATTGTTTAAAAGCTTTCCGTCGAATCTGTCTCCCTCTCTCTCCCTTTTTCTCGCTCTCTTTGCACGATAACGCGCTTATACCAGAGCATCTCCCTTGTATTGATCGTTCAAGTGAATCCTAGTTTGCTGGAATAATTGGGTCAGCGATCTCTCCAATGCTCTTTCGCGTGCATCAGGAAAATGTCGAAGGTTAAACTAATCAGTTTCGTCGCGACGAGGACAAACTCATTAGCTTGCTGAACTACATCCACAGTACGCGTATACGATGCTTTTTCTTAGCCAATTCAGGAGAAACTACCGGTGGGGTTCAATTATTTGGTTTGCTTCGCAGTTATTTACCTATTTATTCCTCACATTTGTACACTTCTTGTTTAACCAGCTTTCCAGGAACTGAAAAAGGAAGTTCTAAATCCTCATTTTATGCTGTGCATTGAAGGGCGATACTCGCAAACGACTGCATGTGAGGAAGATATGAGTTTTTTTTATTAGGCAAATTTATTTTCATTTTTCGAATATTTCTGGATATGAAATACACAGCAAACTATAATACTTCGATGGTGTGAATGAATTTCTCGAAATAAGTTTCATCATGCCTTCAGAGAGTTCGCCTTAAATTTTCAGAACTTCATCTTTCCTGCGAGCTGATTTCTTATCAAATACGGTTAATTTATCATTAAAATAATGGAAAATGCCACAATTGAATCCATTGTGAGAATCCCATGCATACAAGTAAAATTCTCTAAGCGTTTCACGACGCAACATTTGTGAAGGTCAAATCCTTAATTTATTCTGGTGATTTTAGAAATCTGGAGTTCCTGTTGCAATTATTTAAGCTCTGGAATCCAAGGTGAAAGCCACCCTCAGCACTTCCACGTGTATTTCTACTGCACTATACTTCCACCTGTATTTCTATTTGTTTTCCATCACCTGCACGCCCTGGTTTTGGTCGTGCAGGTGCAAGCCATCCGCTTTGTATCATTTAAGCAGTAAATAATGTCTCCCTTGTTGCCCTTGACGAACGATATCAAACCAACTTGCGTCCGCAGGACTCAGAACTGCAGAGATACGATGCATTGTAACGAAGCAAGAATTTAGGCGAGGATTGCTGACCTTCGGGAGACTACGATTCTGATGCTAAATATTTCGCGAATACATTATTCTCGCATCACTTACCGTCTGAAATCACCGTAGTATTGTTTTGCGGATTATTGATGTACCATCCTCTGTTTGCTTCCAGAAAGAAGGATTATCATAATAAAAATCTGGAATAAAAATGTAATTTAATTCGGATCTAAAATGAAAGTGTCCGCAGCACATTACGATTCCATTAATTTTAATTTGACAGAAGTACTGCATGTATACACCTTCACTTGCTATTAAAAATAAACCAGTTTGTTACACTGCCATGCACGCAACTGCTGCAGAATGTCGAGACAAATGCAAAAGTTTAGACATGCCTGCTTATTTCCCGCCTTCGTCGAACTTTCATCTTGCTCTACCCTTGTTATATTCGCGATTTTCTCCGTAGAACCACGTCAGAACTGAAAGAATATTCAAGTTTTTTGTGTGAAAATTTTTTGACTACTGTATTCGAGCCTCAAAGCCGATGAAATAAAATCGTAAAATATGAATTTTGCTTATTTCTTGAATCCCCGATTTTGTTTTGATTAAATGTTGGACGATTTGCTTGATTTTCGCCTGAAAAAAAAAAAACGCGACGGTAGATCTGTCATCAAGCTGCTTTTACATGATCAGCCGACTGCTGAGGATTCACGTAGTCATGAAACATCCACGGGACCGGGCAAAATGAGATCATTCAGCAGCAAAAATGAACAAAACTAAAATCATTTAATTGACCTCCATTGTTGAATCCCCATCCGAGAATGGGAAAGGTCAATACTGTATACGACGAAGGAGCTCATTTCCACTCCATCGTCTCGTGTGCCA